TTCCATGTTTCTAACTTCTAGGCAATCACTGATCTGTCACTCTAGATTGGTTTTCATTTTCCAGATTTTTATATACATGGAATTATACACTATGTATTCTGTTTTGTCTGGCTCCTTTCACTCAGCGTAATTATTTTGAGATTCATCTATTTTGCTGTTCATAGTTTATTCCTTTTTATTACTAAGAGATATTCCACTGTATGTAAATACCATAACTTGTTTATCCATTCAAATGCTGATGGACATTTAGGTTGTTTCCAGTTTCGGCTATCACAGATAAAGCTACTATGAACATTTGTGTACTAGTCTTTATATGAACATTTGCTTTCATTTATCTCAAGTAAATATTTATAAGCAGAATGGCTGGATCCCATGGTAAGTGTATGTTTAACTTTGTAAGAAGCTTCCTGTTTTCCAAAGTGGTTGTGCCATTTTACATTCCCACTTGTGTATGGAGTTCCAGTTCTATACGTCTTCAGCATCACTTGGTATGGCCTTTTCAATTTTAGCCATTCTAATAGGTGTGTAGTGGGGTCTCATTGTGGTCTAATTTGCATTGCCCTAATGACTAATGGTTTTGAGGATCTTTTCATGTATTTGCTATGTGTATGTCTTCACCAAAGTGAGATTGCTCATTTTTTATTAAACTATTTTCTGGTTATTTTGAGTCCTGACGTATTTAGGATACCAATCTCTTATCAGATATGTGATTTGCAAATCTTTTCTCCCATTCTGTGACGTCTCTTTTCTATTAACAGTGTCTTTCAAAAAATAGTTTTTAATTTTGATGGTCTCATTTACCAGTATGTTTTATGGAAAGTGCTTTGGTGTCATATCTAAGAAATCTTTGCCTAACTGAGGCCCTAAAGATTTTCTTCTTTGTTTTTGTCTAGAACTTTTATAGTTTTAGATTTTAAATTTAGGCCTTTGGTCCGTTTTTAATTAATTTTATATATAGTATGAGGTATGGATTGAGGTTGTTTTATTACATATGGGTATCCAATTGTTCTACATTTTTTGAGAAGAGGATTGTTGAAGACAATCCCTTTTTCACTAAATCTATGTGTACCTTTGTTGAAGATCAGTTGCCTACATATGTGTGAGTCTGCTTCTGAGTTCATTTTGTTCCATTGTCTACATCTACATGCCATTATTTACACCAATACCAGAGTTTTGATTACAATCTGTAGCTTTATAAGTCTTGAAATTGGGTAGTACCAGTTCTCTAACTCCATTCTTCTCATTCTAAGTGGTTTTGCCTACCCTAGGTCCTTTGCACTTTCATATGAATTTTAAAATCGGTTTGTCAATCCCTTCCACCCCGTCCCCCCAAAATAAAAACACCCTGGTGTGATTTTGATTAGAGTTGCATTGAATCTATAGACCAATCTGGGGATAATTGACTTCTTAATAATATTGAGTCTTCTAATCCATGGGTCCCCAACCCCTGGGCCACGTACCAGTACCGGTCCATGGACTGTTAGGAACTAGGCTACACAGCAGGAAATGAGTGATGAGCAAGGGAAGCTTCATCTGTATTTGAAGCCACTCCCTAGCGCTAGCATCACCACTTCAGCTCCATCTCAGATCGTCAGACATTAGATTCTCATAGGAGCACCCATCCCTGGTGCCAAAAATGTTGGGCACCGCTATTCTAATCCATGAACATGATATATATTTCACTTATTTAGGTCTTCCATTTCTCTCAGCAATGTTTTGTAGATGTCATTGTACAGGTCTTTCACACCTTTGGCAGGTTTATACCTAAGGATTTCACATTTCTTGGTGCTAATATAAATGCTATTATTTTTAAAATTTCAATTTCTGATTGCTACTTGCCAGTATATAAAATACAACAGATTTTTGTAAATTGACATTTTATTCTGCAGCCTCGCTGGACTCGTTAGTTCTGGTAGCTTCTTTTTTGTAGATTCCATCTTATTTTCTACATAGAAAATCATGTCACCTGAGAATAAAGAGAGTTATATTTCTTTCTTTCTAATCAGGATGCCTTTATTTCTTTCTCTTGCCTATTGCGCTGGCTAGAAATTCCAGTGCAATGTTGAAGAGTAGTGAGTGCGGACATTCTTGTCTTATTCCTGATCTTAGGGAGAAAGCATTGTGTCTGTCACCATTAAATAAAATGTTAGCTGTAGGTTTTTTAGATGTCCTTTATTGGGTTCAAGAAGTTCTCTAAGTTTCTGAGCCTTAATATCAGGAATGGATATTGAATTTTGTCAAATGCTTTTTATGTATCTATCGAGATATGGTGAGTTACATTGATTGTTTTTGAATGTTAAATCAATCTTTTTGTATTTCTGGGATAAATCTCACTTGGCTATTGTTATGAAGTGGATGTTCTTGTTCTCCCCCAAATTCATACATTGAAGCCCTAGCCTCCAATATGATGGTATTTGGAGGTGGGGCCTTTGGGAAGTTATTAGGATTCAATTAGACTGTGGGGGTGGGACCTTCATGATGGGATTAGTGCCCTTGTAAGAGGAAGAAAGAGATTTCTCTCTCCACGAGTACACACCTATAAAAGGCCGTGAGAGAACATAGCAAGAAGGTGGCTATCTACTTAGCCTGGAAGCAGGCCCTTACCAGACATGCAATCTGCTGGAAGCTTGATCTTGAACTTCCCAGCTTCTAGACCGTGAGAAATAAATTTGTTGTTTAAGCCACCCAATCCATAGTTTTTTTGTTACAGCAACCTGAGCTAAAGCATCGGGATGTATTATCCTTTTGATACATTGTTGGGATTCAATTTGCTAAAGTTTTAAGAGCTTTTACATCTACTTTTATGAATAATATTGGTCTATAATTTTATCAGATCTTTGTCCAGTTTTGGTATCAGCGTAATGCTGGTCTCCTAGAATGAGATGAGAACTATTCTCTCCTGTTTAGCTTGTTGGAAGGTGGTGTAGGATACTGTTATGTACATGTTTATTAGAATCTACCAGTGAAGTGATTTGGGCCTGGAGTTTTCTTTATAAAAAAGTTTTTACTGCAGATTTATTTAATAATAAAGAGCATTTCAGTTTATCTATTTCTTCTTGAATGTGCTCTGGTAGTTTGTGTCTCTGAGAGAATTTATCCATTTCATCCTTATGGTTAAATTTACTAGCATAAGGTTGTTCATAACATTCCCTTATCTTTTTAATATTTGTAGAATCTGTAGCAATGTCATTTCTCTCATTTTTAGTATTGGTAATTTGCCTGTTCTTTTTTTTCTGATTAGTCTCACTAGAGGTTTATCAATTTATCTTCTCAAAGATCTAGCATTTTGGTTTCAATGATTTTCTCTTCCCTAGTTCACTGATTTCATCTCTGACCTTTGTTATGTCCTTTCTTCTACTTACTTTGGATTTCATTTCCTCTTTTTTAGAATTTCTTAAGGTGGAAGGTGAGGTCATTGATTTGAGAACCTTCTTTTCTAATATAGGCATTTAGTGCTATAGAATTTCCCAAAGGTTCTGCTTTAGCACCATCCCACAAATTATGTTTTCTTTTCATTCAGTTCAAAATGCTTTCTAATTTTCTAAGTTCTTCTTTGACTCATGTATTAGAAGTGTTTAGTTTCCAACAATTGGATTTTCTAGAGATGTTTGTTATTGATATCTAATTTCACTCTATTGTGGTCAGAAAACACTTTGACTTGAATCCTCTTACATCTATTAAGACTTGTTTAATGGCCCAGAATGTGTATCTTGGTAAATGTTCCATTTGCGTTTGAAAAGGATGTATATTCCGCTGTTGTAGGGTAGAGTGATAATTGTGAATTTATATCTAGGTGGTTGATAGTTTTGTTCAAATCTCCTATGTCCTTATTGATTTTCTGTGTACTTGTTCTGCTGTAGTCATAAACTATAATTTGTGGATTTGTCCATTTCTCCTTGCAGTTCTATCAGTATTTTCTTAATGCATTTTGAAGCTATGTTATTAGGTGTATAAACATTTAGGATTTTTATGCCCTCTTGATGAATTTGCCTTTGTAGATTAATACAGCCACTCCAAATAGAATCAATATTGTAAAGATGTATATTTAAGTGATGCCTGATTTAAGCCTCCTGAATTTTGTGACTGTAGATAGGATCCATTTCCCTGATGATTTTTTAAATGATGATCCTGAGGTTTTGTTTTATCAGCCTAATGAACTCCTGACTTCTGGGTAGAGTCCAATCCCTGGAGTTATCTTTGATCCCTGGTATTGACATGAGTCATGAATTTGTGCTTCTAAACATTCAATTTCTTCTCCTCCTCCTCTTTCCTTCTCCCCCCACGTTTTGTTTAATGAATAAGATTTTTTAAATATAAAAGGCACATATGTAAGATTTTCTAAAACCCATAGGCCAAAATAAAAATTACCACACTGACAGAAGTTAGCAGTTTTTATAATTTAATGAAAAATTATTGGTAAAAAGGTGACATTTGAAAAAAAGACTTGAGTTTATCTTGGAAAACTGGACTATATAAGACAAAATGAAAAAAAATAACAAAGAAGGTTAAGAGGTAATACTTCAAACAACAGCAAAATGTAGCAAATACATTTTGGGGCAATTGAAATTTACACAACTGAAGGCTTCTTCATTTAGGAAAATCCTGTAAAAATACCACAACTATATTTCCCTGACTGAAATTATTTTAGTCAATACTTTCCCAATGGCATTACATATGGAATTTGGCTGAAGCACTTTTTCGATGTTTGCTTTTCCTCCACTCAGAATTGAAAGTCATGAAGGGACATCGGCTACTGTACTGGCCTCTAATAGGAGTTGATAATACAGCTCCATTATCATTTTACTGCCATGAGTGTCAAATTAATATACCCCAAGAG